AAGCAAACCGCTGATGCATTAAATTTGAGTACATGCAGTGCATCCGTGTATTGACCAAATATGTTTTATTGGTTGTCAACGATGTTCCACTTCTCCGATATTCCTAATATGCATTAACGTTGAAAAATAATTGCAGGTAATTTCATTGTACTATAATTCGAACGACAACAGATTCCCGTTAAACTGGAAGCGCCGTCACACTGGTGGCATCTTCCTTCTACGTTACTATGAATCTAAAGTGTCAGACTGTGCAAGATGCCTTCACTGCCAATATGTAATGCGCTTAAAACGCCAATTAAGTTCGGTTAAATTTTATTCAGCAAAATAGTACGGTTTCGCAAGCATACTATACAACCAATCAGTACCAACGCAGTTTAAGAATCGCGGGCCTCGTCCGTTACTTCAACAGCAGTGTCCATAGGAGATGCAGGTTCCTCTGTTGCCTAAACAAAATAAAGTGTTAGGAAAAACTTCGAACTTTTGATTATGTCAACATGACTAGTAAGAATCTTGAATAGTGAAATGAGGATAACCAGTATCGAACTACAACTTATGGAAAATTTTCAAGTCAGACATTCACGATGCAACTATCTTAGAATAATATAACTTGAAAACTTCCGCATGAGGAGGAACATCAGAGAATTGTGATTGTATTATGCTTTGAAATTTCACTAAGTACAACTAAATTAGCATAGAAAAGACGTCAAAACAGTGACCTCTTTGCAATGCGTTAGTGATCAGAATATGAAAAGACCATAAGCGTCAAGCGAAGAGCACTACAAAACGAACATAATCCATTAAATTTGCTGATCAGCTTACCGCCGTCGACTCCTGCGAAGCTGACAGAGCATCGCTAATGCACTCCAGATATGGGCTGACATCCTCTTGGTCGTAAACCGTAAACGGCATCCCTTTGCCAACAATGCCCACCGATGAATTCTTCATAAAATATCCGTTAAAAAAGTAATCAATTAACCGAGCATTGTAATTACTTTCGTCGACAAAGTAACTTCGGTAGGCAAGGTACCGCGAAGAGCGAGGAGCGCATGACGCACCAACGTCTTTACGTCAGCTGAAAAGTATTGTAAAAATATGCATAAACGATAATTAAATTATTCCATAAGGACCAATCATCATAAATCACACTGAACCAATCACATAAACACACAGTGAAAACGAACTGTTGTATAATGAAATGGAAACAAAATCATCCAAGATTTGAAGTACAACCTAATGTGCAGGAGCAGCTGCTAGAGAATATGTGCCGACATAGGTTGTCGGTGGCACGAAGGCGTCATAAGGCACGAACAAACGGATGCAGTATGCTTTCATCGCATCAGTCTCTAGAAAGCCAGGAAAGAAACGGATGTAGCTTGCACAGTGGAACCACTCATCTACGAAGCACATCTAAATACCGTTATACTTAGAAATTGTAATGTAACTGGTTTAAGCAAAGAGCACTGCAAAAGTTATGGCTTGGAAATACCCGCGTGACAACAGTCCTTAGACAAACATAGACCGACAACATCTGAAATGCTAAAAGAAAGGAATCTGCTCTTCTAGAATCACTAAACGATATATCAAATGAGCATTTTTTCTGTATCACTGATAGTGTAAACTTTAACACGCTTTAAAAGAAGTGCTCAATCTTCCGTAGTACTTACAGTCATTAAACTCTGACATATGCTTCTCAAGATATGTCTTGGCGCTCTGCGATCGTGCACCAATTGACATTGCGTAGCACTCGAAAGAGGTGGCACTAGGGCACGTTTGAATGATGTGCGGTCCATGGATCTACGAAACAATCACGTTTTAAATATCTGAATCAAAAAGGAACACAGTCACAGCAAAGATCATTAACCAACGCGGTGGAAAAAAACGAATCATCTGCCCACTCTGGACACCAGAGTGGTTGTCGAAAGTGCAGTCAGAATAATAAGAACATTGGATAAAATGGGACAATAAACAAGATGGCACCAATTCCAATTAGCTAATAAAACTAATATATTAAACATATGGAACTTGGAAAAAGCAATAAAAGTTGGTTTCACAACAGCCGGTGAGAATATGCATCAGTTACCGGTATCATTTACCTAAACCATCTTGTCCATTGTTTTAATCCGACCTTTCGGCAACCATCCGAGAAGCCATCATCAGGGATATTTTACAAACAAGATTGTTTGGTGTAAATAATCTGTCAAAATATAAAATATTTATGGCCTACTATTACTCCGTGCAAATCACAAGAAGCAAGTTTCAGTATCAACGATTAGCAAAAACGGTTCAAAGACTGAAAAAATTTTATCGATAATTAAGGAGCTTCCAGAGAAACAGATTGTGTTCCATTATCGAAGTGCGACAAAATCTCGAGTTTAGTATGCATTTACTGCGTCGTTATTTTCCTGCTCATAGTGCTTCGTTTCCTAGCATGTTCTGTTTAACAGGGGGTCCGTTAATCGAGTCAACCTCCACATTTTTCTGTCGTTCTTCAGACTCCTCGAATATCGTTCTTGACGACATCGCACCACGTTTTCTTCAGTCTTCCCCGGCATTACTAGTGCTTGGGCCACATTTCCAATGTACTCGATGGGTCTCCTTTTCACCTGAAAAAACCAACGGAGCCTGCTTTCGAAAAGCTTTTCTGAAATTGCTGCCATCCTAGAGTGCTTCTTATGGAGTTGTTTCGGATATGGGTCCTGTCTACTGACAACACACATCCATCTGAGCATTCATTGTTTCTGCCGAGTTCAGCTGTTGCTCATCTCCTAAGGGT